AAAGGGGGGCGGGGGCTGGGGCCGCTTCCCTTCAGCCTCCGCGCCCTCCGAATGCATCTCCCTGAGAATCCCGAGCCCGGGGCCCAGAGGCAAACACTCAGCTCACTCCCCGGAGGACAGTCCCAGGTCCTTTCTTCCCACGTGTCCCCCGGGTGGTGGGACGGGGAGCTGCCCGACTTCCCTTCGGTGCCCTGAGCGAGTGCCGCTGGCGTCCTCGGCGCTGCATGCCCTGAGGCACACAGAAGCCTGGACATTCAGTGGCTGCTGCTGGTGGACGTGGTCACTGGCAATGCTGGGAGGTCTCCAGTCCTCCGGTGGAACCTTCCAGAACCACACCCCGCCTGGCCCTGGGGGCCTGGGGGACCCACACGCTCCCCTGAAGGAGGAACCAGGTGGCTGGAGTCAGCTGTCTTCAAGGAGATGCCGGGCCGCTCACACCCTGGACGGACAGGGGCTGGACAGGGACGGGCCGGGCTGGTGGGGGCCGGATCCTGAAATGCAAAACGCGCCTGGAAGCGGGGGCTGTGTGGAAACGCAGCTTTCACAAGGAGCGTTTCTCCAACTGCGGAGGAAGTGAGGCAAGCAGTTTCTGCAGGAGAAGCAGAAGCAGGAGGAAAGTGATTTGCCTCCTTTTCCGCTTTTTCTCTGGGAGGAGATGATCCTGCAAGAACCTACCGCGGGCATTGCCGCTCCTTCCCCATTTGTGGAAATCCCACCCTCGCGCTGCCACCAGCATCGGTTTCTGTTTTGGAGGCGGATGGTCGGAGGGGACTGGAGGTCAGGGCGGACCAGTGGGCGCAGGCACCGCCCGGGACCTTCCGGGACCCCGCGGCCTCGGCCTGGGGGAGAGCCAGTTCCCACACCCTGAGGCCCAGAGCCCCTGGGAGGCGGTGCCGCAGGCAAATGCGACTTCCCTGGCACAGAGCGGCCTGGCCCCGGGGGAAGTGAAAGTTGCTGCACAATTTGAATATTGAAGGCGGCTTTCAGGGCTTTCAGGATTCGGTCCCAGGCAGGCCCTGCGGGGAACAGCCCAGCGGGAGCCCAGGCCTCACCGGGGAGGGGACCGTGGTCGCTGGGAGCCGCCCTGCTCTGGGTGCCGTGTGGGACCTGGGGGCGCTGGGGTGGGGATGGGGA